CGAAATTATGATTGACTAAGTAGGAACGCGGTCGCGCTCGCATACTTTGACGATCACAAGATGGACGGCAATAGTCACCTCATGAATATCGATGCCAGGAACACGGTCGTGCTCACACGTGCTTCTATATTCACTAGCATTTGACCCATCACATAGATCAGAAACTCCTTTGATTCTAATAAAGTAAATACGTTTATCCAAAACACAGGATAAATAGAAGAATTAATCAAACGGATTAAAGGGTAAAAGTTATAGTACCTACTTTCCTCGGTTTTAGAGTGGCATAGTTTCAAATGACGTGAGTTACAATATCACTGAGACAAAAATAGCTAATAATGTTAAAAGCCAAAATTTGTCATTAATTCATCATCACAAACAAATAAACCAAAGACAAATAAACTGGAATTCCAAAGTAAGAAACGAGATGGGAAAGTGATTAAGATCAGAAATGATGGAAGATAATCATGATTTCGTCCTTGTAGATAAAAATGGAGTCAACCCTGAATCATATAATAGCTTAGATCTGAAAATTAAATTCATTATACTTGTAATTTTTTAATAAGATTACGAGGTGAAATTTTCACAACATAAATAAAAGATCACGTGATGATAATATATTTTGAAAAACAAATAACACTGTTAATCCTATTAAAATGAATACATGCTTAACTCTGATCACTATCCTATCAATGTAGAGATTGACAGAAATAAAATTAATAAGATTACTAATTTTAAACACATTAATTATAATAAACTGTAAAATTCTTGGTTGTAAAATGAATTGGAATATTGTTCCATAATATTGAATCATTAACGTATGAACCTGAAATAGCATCCTGCGATATTTAACACGATCAAAGATGTTATCAGTAATGTAGTTACCGATATTATGCAGAGCAAAAAAACAAATAGATAGAGCAAAGCATAGATGACTAATGACATCATAATTTCTCGTAAACCTAACCCAACCCAAAGAACAATTATATAAAAAATCGTGTAGTACGGCAACTAATAAGAGATTCGAAGAAGAATACAAGAAACATAAGAAAGTTTTCAATAAAGTAATCAAGGATACCCAAATAAAAATAGAAATAAATAGTAGTGAAAAGAACAGTAAAATGTATGGAAATATATTAATGATAAATTGATAAATTAATTAGAAAAATTAGTATTTTTAATAAGTTCTTAGGCGAAGTGTCCATCAAGTTAGTAGTTCTATCCAGATGGATGTAAATTATCTTGTAATTGTATAGCTTGTAACTATCATCTGGCAATGAATTTAATTTAATCTTAAAATGTATTATTAGCTCGAGCTTATTCAATAACTTAAGTGTACAATTGTGTTTTCTAATTATGCTTTGATTAAGTCATACCAAAATCTATATGTTAATAAAATTTAAAAGATATACATTACAATTTCATACCGTAAAGTTCTGTAAATAGACATATCCATATAAAATTTATTTTATATATATATATATATATATATATATATATATATATATTGCAACGATTACCGAAAATCGTAGACTCGCGCGAGGTTAGCAAGCGGCTAAGCGAGGTGAGCCGCGTTCGGTTCGCGAGAGAGAGAGAGCGCGTAAGGGGCAATGACCGGGAGGGGAGGCTCCGAGCGCTAGTATCACTGTGCCACTCAGTCAGTTCGTGCGCCTAACCTGTTTCCGAGCCGTTCGAGTTTTGTTTTGTTTGCTATTGACATTGCATTTTGCGTGGGTGAGTGCTAGCAGCAGCAGCAGCAGCAGCAACAACTGCAGTAGCAGCGGCAACAACAGTAATAGCAGCAGTATCAGTAGCAGCAACAACAACAGCAGCAACAGAATTCGAGGTGGTACAGCAAGCAGCGGAGCAGTTTAATAACAACGTGTTATTCGGATACGGTTGGCCACCGTATCCACGCCGTCGTTGCGGTAGGTGCACCTTAATTCCCGTAATTAATCATTGTGTTAATTTTGGCGTGCGAATCCGCGCAGCGAGCGCGAAGAATTTGTTTTGCGTGCGAGCAGGTAGTTCGCGGCAATCGCGGTTTTTTCTCTCTCTCTCAAATAGCGTGTCTTGTCATTCACGCGTGCGTGCGTCAGACTCTCGGCTGATTCCCCGTGTAATTTAATTAGCTAAATAAAGAGCATCTTAATCGTTATATTCTAGTTAAACAGTCGTTATTTTGTCATTCCTTTGTCCGGAGGTCGCGCCAGTGTTTATTTTCAGGAGATTCGAATTCGCCGGTTGCGAAGCACGAATCGCGCAAGTATCGATAGACGCGAGTCGATAACCTAGGTTCCGGTGGCGGCCGCACGAGCGCTACGCGTACGAGCGACAGCGCCGCCAAGTGGCGAGTTGGGGGAACCCAGCTCGGAGAAGTTGAAGACTCTGCGCAGGCGCACTTCGGGGCAAGGTAGGTTACTGTGCTTTAAGCACATAGATAACAAGGCGTCGTTTAGTCGCATCTAAAGGTATATTTGCGTGATTTTAGACTAAACGGCAGCCTGTTACAATATATAGTAGAATAAACATATATATATGTAGAATAAAGTATAGTAGAATAAATACACATACACATATATGTTTATTCTTCTAGTTACATATTTTATTTTGAGTTGTAATTACAATTCTTCATTGTGTACAAGTTTCTTGTTGTCTTTCGCGTTTCCGAGTTTGAGTGTGAGTGTACTTATTTGTGTAAGTATGTGAAAGTGTCGTATCTGTGTTGTCTTGTGTATTTATTTATGCGCATTTCTGTACTATCTCTTTCCTTTCTTCCCAGTTCTTTTGCCCTTCGCCTCTCTTTTCATTGCTTACTAAATCTTCCTTTCTCCTTTTGCCCTCTCATTATTATTGTCTTTTTATTTTCCACTTGTACTTCTAACTTTAGTACGCTTATTTCATTCAATCTTCCTTATATTCTCAGCATTTCTCCTCTTATTTTTCTCTCTTCATACGTTACCCATTCATCCTTATAGCTATTCCTCTCACGTAGTAGCTCCTTTCCCTTTCTCATATTTGCTTTATGTTCCTTTTGTTTTCAAATTGCACTTAAAATTCTGTATTAATTTTCTTTTCTTTTTTTTTCTTCTTTCCTCACTCGTCATACTGACACTCTTCAATTTCTTCTCTTATCTCTCTTCTGTCTCTCTCCATTATTTCCCTCTTTACCTTGCATTATAATTCTTCGATATCCATTTTTCGTTTGTTGCTTTCACCTTGTTGTATATACTTTCACTTCCTTGTTCTGATTATCCTACCGGTCGGTCTTTTCAAATTTTACTTTGTTTTCTATTCTATCTTGTTTTTCCTGCACTGCCCTTTATCGTTTCTTCTCCGAACCAACTTCTTGCCTTAGGGTATCTTGTCACTTTTATTCTTCTTTTTCTGTCCTTCTTCGCAGCCTACTTTTTTTCTTTTCTTTTAGTCTTCTTGATATGCCCCTATGTCTTTTTTAATTAGTTTCTTCTTCTTCTGTCTTGACATCGTTGTGCCGTTGTTTTATTGCTTTCACTTTTAATTTTAGCTCTCTTGCTTTTCTTCTTGCTAGATTGTGTTTTTCTTTAATGATTTCCTCTTTTTGCTCTTACGACTTGCATTTGATTATTTATATCTTCTTATTTTCCTTACACTCTCTTTCATTTTTCCTCTCTTTTTATTCATTTCTTTCTTCTGTTCTTCTTGCATATACTATCTCGCCTCTTATCCTTAGTTTTTCTTTCAGCCACTCTTCTACATCTTGTTTCCTCTTCCAGATCAGATCTTCCTTTATATCCGTAATAACGATGTTCAGTTTTGTGTTTTTTCTTTATAATTTTTCAAGCGTCTATTCCATGTGTTGATTTTTTCCTTGTGCTTTCTCGTTTTCTATCTCGCCTCTTATTTAAATATAAACTTCTTAAGACTTCCTGACAGCCGTGCGATCAACCAAAACTTTCATTATTATTATTTTATATTCAATGAAAACTGCTTATAGATATACGAGTACTTTAAGCTAAGTAGATCACTGTTAACACTTGATATAACCTTACAAATAAATTACTTTATCTTTTTGTGGTTAATGAAGCTGAATGAAACGAAAAAGAAGCTAAATGAAATTCTGTATTCATAGGTGTACCTTCTATTTGAAACTTCAAATGTCAAAAGTTCTATGGATATGCCTATATTCTACTCTTATTTTAAATATGACATATGCATGCCTAGTAATATAATTTTTACAACGCTGATCTATACATGTATAGTTAAATTAAATTTTTCATTTCAAGAAATTCATTTAATTTAACATTTACATGTATAAATGTTGTTGTAATGATATTACTTCCTGACTTTCCGCCCTTTCCTCTACGACGCCTCTTCCTTGGTCTTTCTGCATCAACTCCATCTGTATATATAAAAAATAAAATTGGCACTCAATATTAATTATTACAAGAATATGAAAATATGTAATTCGCAGCTTTTTTCAAAGAGATATAGTATTAGAGTATTGTAATAATTATAAATTTCATTGAAATTAAAAAAATATTATGAAAAAAATTATTATGTGATAAAGCTATGATTATAGTGTATATTAGTAACGTACATTTTTACGATTTAAAATAAAATCTTTTTCAATATTCACAACATCTTTTTACATATTGTTGAGATATTATTCTTTCATAATTTTAAATAATAAAAAACATTGATACTATACATTACTATCGTTTCGATAGTACAAGGTTTATCTTTGTGAAAATGTCAGTGTGTAGATAAATATGGAAAATAAACAAAAATATATAAGAATAATTTATACCTTTTAGTATACGTGCAGGTTGAGGTCTTCTGTCCACTAGTATATCATCATCGAAAGCCTATATAGATATATAGTTTTATAAAAGTTAATGTGTATCATATGAATTGAAGAGGCATATACTAATATAATCAACATGCATATTATTATAAATTAAGTGAGAAAATGTGATACAAAAACTCATAGAATTCGGCAGCGAGAATTGTTGCGCTGAATAAGCTAGATAAAGTATGTTTTGGCGTTGGTGTATACTGTAATCAAACTTGAACAAGTCATTACGTGTATATAGCGCTTTTTATGTTGACAAAGGCTGTGATTTCTCCATCATCCGTAGTGTTTCAATGGTTTTTATGTTGTAGAACATGTGTAAAGCTTGTTTTCATAAAAAACATGTGATATTTATATTAATAAGATTATATGTAAATATTTATTTATGTCCTTTATATATGTGTTGCTTAAATGGCTAACTCACATCTGATTCAATTCACTTACTTGATGATGATTTAAATCGTTAATAGGGAGACGTATCGGTTCATCTACGTGTTCAGGTGCCTCATTCAGCCCCTGCCTCACGTTAACATCAGCTATTGGCTGTAATTAAAATATTTAAATTTATTTCGTAATAATACAATTCACGATTTGAATTATATTTAACATAAATTTATCGAATCGTGTAATTTAATAATTTAGTTACTTGATCGTCATTTACATCTTCAACAGGAAGGAGTTCCGGTTCGTCTATTTGACCTTGTCCGAGTGCCTCATTCAGCCCCTGTCCAACGTTAACATCAGCTATTGGCTGTAATTAAAATATTTAAATTTATTTCGTAATAATAAGATTCTTGAACAAAACTATATTTATGATGGATTTCAGACAGTGTGTGTGTATGTGGTATTTTCCTCGCACGACCAAGCGTGACTTGAGTCAGCCTTCACTCAATCATGATAACCTTACAAATTCACTCACTTCCCTTATTTGAGTTGGGCAAATACGCTCTCTCGCGCCATGTAAAGTCTAGTAATATAAGTATTTTATTTGTCATTTGTTGGCGTTGTTTAATAGATTCCTCCTTTTTGTAATTGCGAACCGCGATTTTCCTTATTATAACTCTCCTAGCTATAGCGAGTTGTTTTCTCCGTGGAAGTCAATGCCATCTTTCTTGATCGGAGCTGAACCCTTATAATATATCAACAGAAGATGGTCCTGACGCGCAGTGGCCAAACCCTTTTGCAGATTTATCAAATAATGTTATTTAATAAGTAACTTACCAGATCATGATTTTCATTAACAGCACGAACAAGATGTGGTCTTCCTCTCCGACGTGGAATATGTGCCATTGGTTCAGGGTTTTCTATTGCTCCATCAGCTTGCTGTAATTTATATTTTTATCCAATCGTATAGTAATTTTCATCCAATGGTATAGTAATTTTCATCCAATCGTATAATATACATAGTATTACTTCAACTGCACCCAACATTAGTATATTTACATTTTCATTCATGATTGCAGCCCGGTTTCTAGGACGAGGTGCTGCGATCCGTCTTCCGCGTCGTACTCGTTCCCTCGGTGGTACTTCCGGTACAGGACCTGGCATCAGATTATGATCTCTCCCGAGATTGTTTCTTCGCCTCCTTCGACGTATATAGGCATTTTCAAATTCACCACCTACAGTGAAATTAAAATGAGATTCACATAAGAATGCTCAAATTATTTTGTTAGAAATGTATATTTTATCAAGGGAAATAGTACTGTACCTGCACCAGGGTTGTGCTGAAGGATACGTATTAAATCTGGTACGTCATCCATATCTACCAGGCTAATGATATTATTAATCGTATTACGTTCCTGGTTCTGCATAATGACTAATAATTTATTCAATTAAAAGATTTTACATTTACAATCACGGTCTGTATGTATTAACCGTTATAAGTAGCACTACTTTCTATCATATGCCCTATTAGTTCTAACTTTGAATTTAGCTTACTTCTAGCAAAGTGTGGTCTTCTAGTCGCAGCTACTGTCAATAAAAATTCCTGAACATCATATCTATAAAAGGAATTATAACCAACCTCATGAAAAGCATATTTGTTACAACAGACTTAACTGTTTATTTCGTACGTGAAGATATTGTTCAGTTTAATTACTTATTTTATCTTAAATTACTATTTGAAGCGATATAACAATATTATATACATAATTTAGTGTGTGTGTGTAAAAGTATTGTAAAAAAAACCTATAATCTATAATAAACTTCTATATTTAACCCTCATCGGTCACCGTGGGTAAATTTCACCCAAACAAAATTATTAACTCCTCAGAAAATACCTTAGTGTTTGAAAATACCCTTAAGGCGCCATCTACTGTTAGTCTGAGGTACCCTCTATACCTTTATACAGTTAGCGTGGCTTAGGACCCTTCTCTGTGCGTCTGGCATTTGTCCAGAGTTAACCCTCAAAAATCGTTGGGTGAAATTCACCCAGTGTAACTACATTTTTCGTGCATTCAATCTTTAAAATAATTATACTTTTTAAAAGAATCAATATTATATTATTTTTTAATGAAATTATTATGTTTTAGGAGTAGATTCCTATTGGTTTTTTTGCTTTATATGAATTGTGTAAAAAGATATAAATTTTTTAATTAGAAAAATGACTTTTTTGTTATGTTAAATAAAAACAATTTTTTAATGTATAAAAAATTAATTTTGATTAATGATACTCATAAAACATCTTTTATAATCCTTAAAAAACGCATACAAATTATTTTTAGATAAAAAAACTCATTAGCGAAGCAAAATGTTACTTTTTCGACGGTGAATCTCACCCAGTGTGACCGTTATGCGATTCTACTGAAGTGTGACCGACGAGGGTTAAAAGGAAAAACGTCAAGGAGATGTCGAATATACATTTTGTAAGGTTAATGTATTATTAATTGTCAATAAAATATGAATCAGTATTGATTAATAATTTGTACATAAATTTATCTGACCTCCCCAATTCAAGATTCTGTTCAGCACGGCGAATAGCAAAATCAGACTGAATTAATTCCAGTGGTTTTTTTGGTTTGACATTCAATCCTCTCATCGCATTTCTTATATCCTTTCCAACACTTGCTGTATACGCTTTAAGTTTTTCTATAAATGTATTTATCTAATTAGTTAATTGCTATAAAATTTATTGACCTTTTAGTAATGCAATTGTAATTGTAGCTTAAATAATCGATACCAAAGAAATTTTTTCAAAGAAAGGTATTTGGCATATCACACATGTTATAGCTAAGAATTTACTTATAATATATCAAAGTTATATGAACATTTTTTATACTATCATTGTACTGTAACGAGCATAATCGAATTTGCTGATGGATGAAGATCGTCGCACAATAAAGCAGTATCGACTGACGCACATATTAATAATAGTGATGACGATTACCTCACCCGCACGAGCATACACATTATTACCAGTTACAGGACTAGAAAAGCAATCATTAGATATATTATATTTCAGTTATTGTTCTACCAATAAACTTACTGATCATTTTCCAAATATTAGGATGTTTTCCGAATATTTTTTGAGCGTGCATGTTTATATTTTCGGAAATATTATTTGTTTTTATTGGTTGATTGTAAACAGATATTACATTTGCTAATGGTACCCAGGTAGTCCTAGAAATAATTTACAAATTAATGCGTTGACAACTGATTTTGAGATTCTATTGGAATGTTGCATGTTACAGTACTTTAGTGATTCACTTAAAAATCACAGATGGTTTTCGTAATATTATTACTCGACTAATCACAGAATTTAAGGCAGCGATTAGAGAGATAAAAAAGAGGCAAAGTGTATACCATTACCGCAAATACGTTCCGAAAGATTGTAATTTTTCGCCTTGAATAGATCTTGGATTAACGGCTTGGTCAATTAAAGATACTATATGCCTGTATCCTTCGTCTATTTTATCTGACGGTAGGTGTATCAGAGCATATGCATTTTCCAAGATATAGTCGTACTGAACGTTTATATCAAAGTTATCCCATTTCTTTGCAAAATTCTAAAATATTGATAAAGTAATAGTTATAAAAATACTACGAGATATTTAACGTGTGAAATAAATGTCATTGATCAACTACAGTTCTTTTTATGACAAAAATTAACTACGATGTCTTATTTTAAGATATATATAAGTCATATGTATGTTTAGAGTCACGATTGAAAAATCAATTTTAAGCAGTCCACGACCGTATATAAATAGTGTTCCGAAATCGAAGACTATACGAGCTTATGATAGTGCATTAGCTTATGGAATAATTTGGCAGCTATTCCTATACATTTTTTTCGTATACTTACTTGCTTGTAATAGAATGAACAGCCTGTGATAGTCACATTTGGAAAGTGTGATATAAGACTATTGAGTTGACTTCGTTCGAAATCACAGATAACGGAACGGATATTATCTCTTAATTCTGGAATTATGTCAAATATTTTTCCCCACATTGCATCGTACATTCTTTCTGTTCTCGATGAACATAAACAAAATATAGATGCAAAACCCTATAAAAGTTATGGTAGTTTCATAAAATGAAAAAAAGTAAAAAACTCAGCTTTATAAAAAGTTAAGCGTTTTTACTTATATATAAAGAAATTGAACTTAACCCACTTAACAAGGAGAAACCTGAATGCATCATAAACGAAAAACATATACCATTGACGTGAAAAATATGATTTATTTCTAGAACTATATCAGTAACTATAATAAAAAAAAAGTTTTATCTAGTTCTAAAATGAATTGTAACGACAATAGATAATATTCAACATATAGCTTCAATTATCAAATAAAAAACCTCATTTGATACGACTGATAAATATATTCAATTATAATTCTTCAAACAGAAAAATTACAGATTAAAAAATTTCGATGAAACAAAAATCTATATTTATTTTTCTAAATCGTACGTGTTGAGATGCCATGCGTATGTGCTTGCGATCTCTTCTGTGAAGATGGACGTAAACTTACGTGAATGCTCAACACGACATTACTCTAATAGAGCTTTGTTTCGGTCCTGGACGGATCGATCTAATGAATATTTTGTTTTCTCTAACCTGTGCCTTTATTTCTGTACCAAGCATCTGTGTCCAACAGTGTGATTATAGGTAACTATTATAAAAACTAATTCAAGAGATAATAGAAAAATAAATTCGATTAAAATCCTGTCAACAACAAGGTTAAACCTTGAATATATGTATCTATTGATAGTTCAGGTCTTGACGATTTGTTTGGGAATTGATGTTCATATAAATGCAAATAAGAAAAGAATTTCAAATTAATAATGCAGATTACATATCCATCAGTAGAAATTCATAACCTGAAAAGATAAACACTTCAGAGAAAATAAATTACTATACGGTTGTCAATATATCTAGCTTGCAATGAGCATTATGGATATACGAATGTATCTTTGAATTATAAAAATATCAGTAAAAATAACAGAAATGATAATATTAACGTATCAGTGGAACTGCCGATGAATATGTTCAACCATATACAAAATTAATAAATGATAGATAAACTGAAGAGTGTGATCTGAAATAATAGTGATTTGAAATTAATATATTTTCAAAAACCACCTATATAACAAAGACTATGGAACGGCTACGATAATAATAAAATAAAAACTTGCTGATCAACAATATTATTTGAATTTTAACTACTTTTTCACCTTCCATAGTTTTCAAAACAATTTTTGAAAAAAAACTCGACGGATATTATTTGAAGTCTACAAATATCGGCCTTGCATTCTTGAAGCCACCAAAATTACACTAACATACTTAACTAAACTGATTAAAAGATATGACCGCGACGGGAAAATTTGTCGCGATTTGTTTGATAGCAAAGTAAAAGCATGCTCATTCGAAATGAACAAAAAGAGACAGTCAGTTATGTAAGAGCAGATAGTTCAGAGATTGAGTGAGTGACGTAACATTATTATTCTTGCACTTATCCTCATCAGTGACAATCACAATAAAATTCTGAAAAGTAGTTCGATTTCTTGGCGATAATTATGACAGAAATAAAGTGTTGCTGTCAATTTGATATAAGTTGATGAACAGGCTATCTATGAAAAATAAACAAACAGTAACGATGGATAGCTATGCATCGAGAGAATTTTTGTAAAGTTCTTTAAGTATTCAATTAAAGTTAAACATTAAAGTAAGTACATAAATTGAATAACTTACTGTATCTAACTTTCGAAAACTTATTATGTACACTTGCGCTATTCCTAAATTTCTAGGGATTACCTGTAAATGTATTAGTATATCATTATTGAACATATTAATTTTTTCACAGGATCGAAAGGGTGTAAAAATATTATAGTTAACTCATTTCTTTCATAAAAAATGAGTGGACCGAAACCGAAGGCACATAAAAATAGTTTTTTCAAACAAAAGTAAGTACTAAGAAAGATAACGAAAAGAATATCGACTAGAATTATTAAATAATATCTAAATGATACATAACATATGTCCAAAAGTCTCTTGTCATAATTATTTATCATACTATTCCAATAATATTAATACATACTGTGAAGGTCCCATCTATGAAAAGTTGAGA